TTTTTCTAGTCTAATTCATAATATATTTATATATGTTATTAGAGTGTCCACATGTATGTTAGATTATTATTTATCTTATTCGATTAGGTACAATCTTCTATGATTGCGTGTGTGTGTATATATATATATATGAGTTAGAAACCCTATTTTTTATCAATAAATCATTTTAAAATTGGATCCGCGTATGTCTTAAAAAGATTGAACGTTACAAGTTTCACATCACAAATTGTATGATCTTACCCCCAAAACAATCACGTGGACACATATAGGATAGTAGGTTTATATCTATAGTATATACATTAACACATACATATATAGGATAAATAAGTTACATTTGAGGAGTTGTTGGCTTATAATAATTGGATAGCTCACCACCTTAATAAAAAAATTATACACATATTTTTGGGAAAATTCCAAAAAAATTACCGACCTTGAAGATAACTGACATATTAATACTGAACTTTTCAAACTTTCAAATTAAATATGAATTCGTCGATTTTGACATAAAAAAACACTAAACTTGTAAATCTTTGACAAAAACTTCATCAACCTTACACGGTGTTAAATCACTTAACAAATGATATGACGTGGCGAATGACTCAATGCCTCGTCATCCGCTACATCAAATAAGAATTTTAAAAAAAATAAAAAATAATTCTAATTATAAATAAAAAATAAAAATATGCAATATATATATAATATTAAAAAATAAATATGTATATATATATATATTTATATATATGTATTAATGTAAATATACATTTTTAATTTTTAATATTTTATATTATATATGTATATATATATATATATGTGTTAATGTATATACTATAGATATAAACCTACTATCCTATATGTGTCCACGTGATTGTTTTGGGGGTAAGATCATACAATTTGTGATGTGAAACTTGTAACGTTCAATCTTTTTAAGACATACGCGGATCCAATTTTAAAATGATTTATTGATAAAAAATAGGGTTTCTAACTCATATATATATATATATATATAT